CAGCGACGATGCAACTGAAGAGCTCTGACGACTTTCTCCATGAGGAAAAGGTTATCAATAAGACTAGCGCAGTCGATATTTTAGCTGCTAGCAATACATATCTGTGATGATGCTGGTCGAGAGCGGTCCCGTCCGTCCATTGACTGGTCTTGCGTCGATTTTGCGAATCTGACGTATAATCATAAACATCATTTACTCCAAAGGCAACTTTTTGCGTNAGTACAGTACGAGGTAGGAGATTTGGGGTGGCAGTTGCTAACATACTAAGACAGATGGGTAAGGTTAGCGCAGTGCCAAAGAGTAGTTGCTCTACACCCAATTCATATTTTCCAGAATGAATCAGGCCTGAGAACCATATTGCAGGAGCAACTACCCACGATAGAGGGCGGCTTACTGACACTAGAAGGGCAAGCTGCTTGGGTAGAGACATCGCTTAGATACACGTGGGTCGATAGAAGATAGGTGTTTCTTGCCACAACTTGATAACTACAGCTGTTACGAGATACTAGAAACGATCTATAGAGCAGAAAAACCTCTAGCATAAGACTAAATATATACCAGTTACAGCACAGGTCAACGGATCAGGTATTGCTCACGAGCGAAGCTAGCATCCCAAGTGGTTTTAGCTGCTAACGCACTCAGTATCCGCCCATCCCAAAATCCCGTCATTCTCGACCAGGGTACAGCCGAGATCGTACATAAGTATTGCAGTGATACTGACAGCCCACATGTTCAAGTAAGTTACTTAGTTACAACGGTCAGCAGATATTAAAGTAAGCAAGGCGACAGCATATCTGTGGAACGACTTTACGCCTTTGGCCCCTCTATAGTACGGATAATGCTAACTATGTAACTAGTTGATTATGTAATGGCCTGTAGAGGCGGTTGCGGCCATGGTCGGGTGTATATCTGGTCATTCGTGACGATAATTCNAAAAAGTGATTTCTCGCTATCTATCGTGTTTTTGCTCGGAATTATCACTGTGATGCCTATCTAGTAAGCTTAGAGCGTCAGTTGCTGTTTTAAGCTTGACTACCTCTATGCAGCTAGCTCAGCAATTGAGATTATGTCAGCACTGCTGATTGGTGCATCCGATAATTACAGAGGTACCAGGTCGTGTGGCGATCACGCACGAATCCGTCCACCAACCAGCCCCTACCGCTGGCGAGCAGGCCTAGACGATTCTATTGGATACCTAGACGTATGCAGAAGCGATAGATGCGATGCGACGTATAGATCTGATGGTGGTGGTCGTATAACTCGTGAGGCGCATTATTGAGATGAAGCAGGTGTCTTCGCACATCTGGAAGGGAAGGTATCTACATGATTGTAATTTTTGTATTGGCGGGCATGCATCGACTCAGAATCAACCCTAGTATATACCTTAGTAGGCTAATATGAGTTTTACGATGATTGCAGGCTATGATGTTGCTACAAAGTCAAAGTACCCGTAATTTTGTCCGTTACGGCGGTTGTTCCGTTACGAAGGGATGTACGTTATGTACTTAGTTAGTCTTACGCAGTTGAAAGAATATTGCTACCAAACTCAACGCAGTGACCACGCCCAAGCTCGTCAACCACAATCTAAGCCTTGAGCGCGACCGTTAGTGTTATAATATTCGGACAAGGCACCTCTAGCACAAAACGAACAGTAGCTTGGGGCTGCGCTTACGGCTTGACCCTAAGTTAGGGTTACGCCAGTGGCGAGCGTTTTCTAGTAAACTACTTAGCATAGTGTGAGAGAACACTTTGAGTGATTATTTCGGCTACTCTGAAACTGACGGTATTTTATAAGCAACAATAGCAAACACATATATTCTAACCAGACACTCATACCAAGATTATTGCAGGCAACAGAAAGAGCCGTCTTGAATGCAACTATTACTCTCACGAAAAGTCTCCACCTTATTATTAGCTTTTCTGCGTCCTTCCTTACTAATCCAACCAAGAGGCTATCATTGCCTTTTAAAATCATATTTGCAGCGAAGAAGAATGGGTGTCCCAGAAGAGCACTATGTGGTTCCGAACTTTCTTCGAGCCTTCCCGGATCTAAATGCGATATTAGTTATTTCCTTATAAGTTAAAGGTAAAAACCACTCCAAACTTACAATACTTATCATCAATCAGTCCTTGAGGCTTAGAGAATGCACTGAGGATTTTAACTTCGTAATTTCTTTCCCTAATATACAAATAAAGATCAGGAAGCATTCGACGCTGCGAAATGAGATAAAGTCCATCTTGGTAAATGTAACCTAGCACTATCGAGTAATAGGCCTGCACAATGTTAGATGGAAGCTATAGGGAAGTGGAAGCAGTATCCAAGCTAGCACCAAAGTTCGCTGTTGATGCTTCTTGTCTACTTCGCTGTTTGCCAATTGCGAATTTGGTTATCAGTAATCTCCAACGATTTTTATCCAGTCCTTCCCAAAACTAAACGTCTTCAGGTCTGGAAGGGATGGTTCTAAATGTATATTCTCCTATACCATTGAATTTAAGGTCGGCGACAAATACAGGCCTCGGGAGAGCAGGTGCTAATTTTGCCCAGAAGGTAAGAAATTCCCATATTACTGGCCAAGATTAGCCATGCTCGTGAGTTCTGAGGAAATAGTGAAGAACGAGCACTTACATCCGGCACCGTAGTGAGGTTGCAAACCTAGTATACCCTCTATGAGGTCGCTCTCGGCTATACCTTTTTGACCTTCGACCGATGATATTATGAATACAAGTTGTTTATTCTAGCCTATTTCGCCAAATTCTATATTAGCTAGAACAGCTTTTTAGTATATAACCTTAAGCCCATCTCCATAAGTGGTTAAGGAACCTTTTGTAGTCAAAAATGCAGTTCTATCTAGCCCTAGGTCATATACGTTACGACACCCACGAATCGACTCTAGGACGGTTACAGAATAAAGCTAACTAAATATTATTATTCTAGAACTCATTCTAAGGGTGCTAATAATATATGCGTTACTAAGCTGTGTGTATCCACACTCACGCTAAATAAGCCGCTTCCTACTTATATTTTTAAAAAAGGGTAAACTCCTTTAGATTCTTCTATTTAGCGTAGGATGAAAGACTGGACTCTGTTAGACATTACGTGTGGTTTAGTTAGCTAATTTAACGAGTGGACTATATAGAAAGGTTCGGGACCTGGGAGATATATAGATAAGCTGCTACCTAAATCTTTAGTGAAGCACGGGCTATATAAGGCTCAGCATCAGAGGCGGCTTATCGCATGTTCGCTAACGGCTAAGCGTTATAGTACACGCTTTCGTTGCAACTGCGTTAGTTGCGTACCGTAAACCACCTGTAGTTATCTGATCTATCTTAGTGTTCTTCTATATTCACAAAGTCAGTGCTAAACCCCACAACAGCAACATGTGCGACGTTGCCAGGATGGTTAATATGTGTTACACAGCATGATTAGAGATTCTATTAATATATTCGCACAAATGTACAAATTTTGGGCCCACCCAAGTGGTTTTGTACGAATATGATGGCTAACGCAAAGCTTGAGATGGTTGCTTACCTCGGACGTCCGTACGTAAGGGGTGGGTCCGTGCTAAGTCGAATAGTCAGTGCTATAACTATTACATAGGGTGGATCGCTTTCAGGAACACCACTTGTTGTTAGCCTCCCGATAATATTGCTTCATGGATGGCCTGCTTAGGCGAGGCTCCTGCCAGGTAGTTTCACAGAAAAACAATAGCGCAGTATGTAGCTGAGACAACTAATAGACTTTTTTGAGACTAACTAGAAGGCATAGAACTAACACAATATGGCAAGTGGCACTTACTTCAATACCTTAGTCGACGGTATAGCAGCTAACACATTCAACGAAGCGAGCAGGGCAGTCAAATGCATCATGTTATGGAATATCAATAATCCAGATGAAATAGCTATCTAAACTAATAAAGTATTTATCTTACTCAAAGCTGGCTTGCACGTGCTCAAGTAGCGGAACTTTAAAGATGCTCTAATTAGATTGGAGTGCAAGAGCTCTAACCCTTTCTTTATTGTCTGAGCCGCATAATCCTCCATCGTCTCCAAGGTCTAGATAGCGGATTTGGCTGTTATCTGGAAGCAGATCGGCTACGATTGGTGGATTAATGCCTTTGTAACGTGGAGGGTAGCGAATCCACACGTTTTGCGGAACATAGCATCGAGACCAGATTGGATGCTGTGAATCTGGTGTTTCTGGATTTTCCTGAAGGTTGGCAATATACATAGGATAGCCAGATGGAATCTTGGTCAAGGATTTTGCTGCTATCAACTGAACAGGCGAGCATGACATATAGAACTCTCGATTACCAGATGAATTTAGCCAAGTCCTATTGAGTCAGCAGTGCATTGTAATGGCATTTTCTGACCCACCATGCAAAGATAACCACATCTGCCCCTGGCAAGGAAGTAGGAATGTCGAAAGAGTAGCTTTGATCCATGTCGTAGGAATTTGTAAGTTGCCCTTCTTGGCCCTTACGTACGCGCAAGCAGTTTCCTTCCCAGCTTTGAACAACAATCCAGGTTTCTCCATTATCATACGAAAAAGATGCCTGGCAAGAGCCTCCTGAATGAGCTGCACCCGGATCGTGCATGCTCGCGCCAGTTGTGTTGGTAGAATCGTAAATCCTATAAGTATGCCGTAAGCCACTGCCTAGGAATATCCAGATTTGAGGTGACATACCAGAACGTTACCCTACTTCAAGTATGCCAAGTTGCATGGGTTTCGTTGCGAGTCACATTTCTATGGTGACCTTTGCAAGGAAAGGGTTGTTGACCCCAATCTGCACCCTGATAGTTTGGATCACCATTCAATGGCATAATCAGCTTTGCAACTTGTGGATCCCAATAAAAGGGCGCAGGTTCGCCCACAAAGACATGCGGACGAACCGCTGCAATTGGTAAAAAGGCCCAGGCAGATCTGATTTGCATCCTAAAAGTTCAAACTAAATTCGAGGGGCTTTTCGGGCTGTGCTTGTATCTAATGTTAGGCAATGCCTCCTGTTTTATACTATGCTCTCAGTCATGCAAAGAACAGCTTGTGCAAGAGCACGGGCCGCATAAGTGGTCGAGTGACGTGTGCGATTTCATAAGAGGAAGGTAATGAGTACATCACGTGGATTGCATCTCAGCTAAAAGGCCCTAAGAGTCATAGTGATGCGCTTCTTAGAAACAATCATCCATCTTCTATTCGTTTTTTTTCAAGGATGGGACATAGCAGCTCCAAATTACCTTCTAAAAAGGATGAATCGATTAGCAATACGCCATTCCGCATCCAGCTTCCAGTAACAGCACAAGAACAGACCAAGGAATCTCTATGGGACTTGGTCAACGACGGACAGTTTCAGGCTCAAGTGGTCGAGAGATCATTCCAAATTTTCTTGCATGAAGATCTTCCTGACTACTGGAAACTGCAACTTGAACTCTTGGTTGTGTTAAAATTCGTTTTTGACCGGATCAGACCGAGAGGTGTTTCTGTAATCTTCCCAAATCGGCCACTCCGTTACCCGACTAGAGACACGGAAGCTCTTTTGAAGTTAGCCAGGATTGAGACTCTCCATCAAGGTTTACAGCTGTGGACTGAATACCTAGCGCAAACGAAAAGCCTGCATCTTGAAAACTCCGACTGGCAGAGTGCTTTCCAGCAAACGCGCGAAGGCTATCGCTTCAACCTCATCCCGGCTGAAGGCAAGCTCTGCTTTCAAAACAACAACATACCCTCACAAGAGCCTCAAGCAGGCAAGAACAGAAGAAGTGTCACTGAAGAGATGACCAAGACCATTGAAGATGCCTATAGTAATTATAGTCTGGTAGAGGAATCTTCTAACAACGCCCTGAAGGAAAGAATCATTCAAAAAGCGAGATACTTGCTTCCACAGTATATGGAGCCTGTTCCGCTTGATTTCGCGGTTCACAATTACGAAAGCCTGATGAGAACATCGTATGATGCTGGTACGGGTATCGGCTTGACTAATGTTGTACTCCAGGCTTTCACAGATGCTAAAAAGTCCTTGAGAGGCGGAATTGACTCCAAGATCGATATTGTCGTCGTTAAGGGCACGGTACTGCAAGCTCACGTCGATCTTCTGTTAGAGGCAAATATTGGAGTTCACAACACCATTCACGCCAGTAAGAAGAGAAAAAGGCTACAGAGCCTAGATTCGCGTGGTATTTGTTTTGCAATTTTGCCCAACACAGGGGATGGCAGTACCTGGCGCAGGTTAAGCTACCGCAGCAATAGCAACACAAGCATTTGTAACTGTGTTGACCTGCCTACAGGTATCTCGCCACATATTGTCACTGGAGAATCTGTGCGTAGAATGTTGCTTGGCTCGGTAGATTTGACTGCTAGATAGGTTTTCGATAGACATATGGATGTTATTCAGTTTGTGCATCATCTGCTGTAACCACGTGACTAGAGTCACATGATATTCTATTGTAGCAGGCACTGCCCGGTGGGCAAGTGCACTTACCTCTAAGCTGAGAGCTCCTGTAAAATAAAAAATACATCATGACACGACAACATATAGCAATACAATTATAGATCCCTAGCCTCCGACCGACACTGCTTACGCAGTTACATTTGCTATCTAAAGCAATCTGATAGTTACATAGACACTATAGTTTTCCTGAAAATGGCATTCATAACAGATATAAACACGCAAAGGTAAACTTAGTCATAAAGCATATTTTACTTCTTTCAATTCAACATTCACTTAGTAATCCGCCTTTCTACTACTGAGCGCATGGAATGATGAACAATCGCCTTGTGGAAGCGATGCAATATGGCTTCAGGATCATGAGATATCTGCAAGAGCTGCTCTTTCTTACTTTCATTCAAGTTTTCGTCAAACACCCATGTAGGTTCCCACTGCACCCACACTTTGCCTGACTCCTCGTGTATAATGTAGCCTCGATGGCTTGAATAAACTTGCTGTAAATAATAAAAGAGTCCCTTGGTCATTCGGGCGACTTTCCAGTATGCTAGAAACGCCGGACGACGGACACCTGCATCTGGAGAAACACGTAAGGACTTAGTCGCGACGTATCCAAGCAAACCAGGTCGATCTTTTCGGACTTCTACAGAGAACTCATAGAGAAGATCTTGAGGTGATAGTTGAATTGACTTCTTCTCTATTGTCGGCTCCCAAGAAATAAGTAGCTGGTCTTCGCCTCGGGCGTGAACGAGCCATCCCTGATGCCCATCTTGACGGAGTGCATGGTACTCGTGTGCTGAAAGCCACGAACTTTCCCAGAATACAAGTATGTTCAGGAGGTTAATGCTGATAGCACCTAAACAAGGCCATGCATCTTTGTTGCTTGTATTGCTCCCAGGTTCAGTCTTCATTTCGTCGCTTGGATAATGGTATAGTGATGAAAATGTGGAAGAGAGTTCTACCCGGCAAGAAGATGTGTCAGAGTTACGAGCAAGGAAACTATATAAGGTGAGATACTAAGTAGCTAGCTGATTCATTTAGTAAGCATGATTACACTCAACTACTTAGAAAGCACACTAAACTAATTTTGTATGAAATTGCATTAACTATACTACATAAAAAATCGAAGTGGTTTATTCCAAAACCTGTCTGGATCACGGCCCTGGAGATCAAGATCGTAGGTTAGGGTATTCGAGATGAGATCAAGGACAGTCTTTGGTACCGGCTCTAGCAGCTCAGGTCTAGCTTGTAACACCTCGCTAAACCAAGCTGCCTCTACTAGAGTTAGTTCATCTATACTGTTCACCGGAGTTAGTAAAAGTTTGATTCTATAGAGATGTGCATCATACTCTTTCAGTTGAATAGGCTTACTAAGAGCCTTCTCCTCAAGCTCTTCAAGCTCTAATCCAAATTTAGCCATACTCAAGGACGGGAGATCGCACCCAAAGCTTGGAAATAGAATTAGCAAACCTGGGTCTAAAGATCTTCTACCGTGCAGTATATTGTGCAACACTCTCCCCTCCTTGATGTATTTGTTAATGTTGCGTCGAATTCGCTTTTCATTCCCGCCGCATGCCTTCACAATCTTGTTCAAAATCTCGTCTTTCACCATATCAGGAGCCCGCCTTTTTCTCTCTAATGGACTGAGATTTTCGTAAACTCGATGGATTTCTTCCGTATGTGGCGTGAGGGGCAGTGTCTGAGAGATACCCTGTTTAAAGCTGGCCGTCCGTTTTCGGGCCAAGACTCTTCGCCTCTCTTGGGTACTGTTATGCTTCTCCTCTTGCAACGCTTTGACTGCACGCAGATATGTCTCAAAATAGCAATATTTGATATATCGGTTTCTGGCAACGAGAATATGGCTTTGGCTTTCTTGCCTGTCCAAGTAAATATGGATGCGAAACAGTTTATCGAAAATGGGTTGCTCTGTAGCTTGATATGTTTGGTTTCCATCTTTCCTAGTGCAGGCCAGTTTCAATGATTCGAGAATGTGAGGAGATCCAATTTCGTTCACACATTGCAAAATCCGCAGACAACGTCCGCGACTGATTTCAGAAGGCTTTACACCAAGTGCTTGCTCTAACACTTCAAGCTCAAAGTTCTCCAGATTTTGTACAGGGACCTCACTAGTTTGTACTTGCGTCTCTAGGCGAGCTGATTTCCACCGGATATCGACTTGTTCAGATCCTGTAAGCTTACTGGGGATGCCACACTTTTCAAGCACAGAATCGCGTTGATAGGGCGCTAATAACTCCGCTAGAAAACGTAGGCGTAAATCACGGGAGGTTGGCACATTCTGAAGAGTCTGATTCTGAAAGTAGGTTTCTGCTATCCAAACTGATAGCAGAGTGCTTTCCACATGCGGCTCGATGCTTCGAGGCTGAAGAAGGTCAGTCAGAGTTGGTAGTCGGGTGGATGATCGGCTTACATCAATATGCTCCGTACTCCATTCAGGGCGTATCAACCATGGAATCCCAAGGGATGATAAATCCGCTGTTTTTCGATCAAGAATGAACAGTGTTTTGCTGGTCACGAGCCCTAGCACCAGCAGAGGCGAAGTGTCTTCATCCCGGGGTACGATTGCTACGAAATCGGTGCATGTACTTTCTTCCACTGGCTCCGGACCGAACGCATCAGAACAGAAATCAATGATAAGAATCGGACCGCGCAGTAACGTATACAGTATACCATGCAGGAGTGTTGATGTAAGAGGTCTCCCCTTCACTAAGGGTGACAGGATTGCTCGAGCGTCGACGTAATCTGAATCCTCTGCAGGTTTATGTGGAAGGCAAAAGCGCGAACTACAAGCGAGATTTACATAGCTTTGAACTGTCGGGTCGTCTTCAAAGTCTTCTGTGCCATTTTGACTGGTTGAATCTTGTTCTTCAGGGTACGCGGCGACCCCTTCGATGTCTCTCTGCACCTCGCCATATGGAGACCAGCCCTCAAATGCTTCATTGAAAAACTGTGGCGTGGGTAAATCTACCGTGGCATCCTCTGGAAATTCATATCCATAGATGGGTGAATCTAGTGCGTCGTGTGGCTGACCGACCAAACTATGAGGTGGGATTTCGAGGCCTCGCCGACTTTCGATACAGTCTGGATTTCCAAATACTTGGTCCGGGGCAGCGGTACTTGATGCGTGATGAGCTTGGAAATTCGATACTTCGTTGAGGACTCGCACTGGCTGTGCATCTATACGCTCGTCTGGGCTGTCACCAGCTAGCCTCGATGTATAAAGCATAGGAGAGGATGGGTCTTGCCCAATAAGAAGACTCTCTTGCGTTTGGCTCCCATTTTGAGTGGTTACCAATCTCGGATCATTCGAAAGGACTTCTGTAGCAGCATTCCTCATTGTGTATTCATCATGAATTTCCTCATAGAGCATTGGTGCCGGTGTATCATGTCCTTCGTCACTGGATTCGGACTCCGTCTCGTGTTCAGTGACAAACAACGAGCCTGCTGAAGTAGATTGAGGAGCGGACGCGATGCGACGAGAAGATCTTCGCACCCCTTGATTAGCACCACCCATGCCTGCCGGACGTGATTGGATTTGTATGCTCGCTTGGCTAGCTCTTCTAATGGACAGTTTCTGCTGAGCGTCCTTCTTCAAGCAGTCGAGTGCCTCTACCAGCGCTACAAGATCATTGCACTCGATCTCATCGCTTTCTTGTAACCAATTATCCGCAAAGCGCTTTACCTAATTAGACCACCGAGCCATTGCATGTCGTTGATTGGGATGCACAGACCTTGATTAATTCTAAGGCTGAGGACAAATAACGGTTTGGCGTTACCATGTTAGCAAATTGAATAGGCGGATGTTCTGAGCAAAGTCAGCAGCAAGAATCCTGTAATTAAGCATGCTTGATCAGAAAAGGATTTTCAACCAAGAGCAACAGCCCGTCTTCCGTTGCGCTAGTGCGGTCCGCAACGGATGTGTCTACTCATTAACTGACAACGCTAGCTTTTTCTGTCAATAGCCTTTTTCAGCTTAGCGTAACAAGCACGACACTTGAAAGTGCTCCTGCTTGTTACGCTAGTCTTTTTCTAGAGTAGATTGTTGAAAGACAGCGTTGTTTAGAGATCTTTGCTACGTAGATTGTGCTTGTTATCTATAAGAGCCTCTTCTAGCCTAGCGTAACAAGCAGGAGCACTTTCAAGTGTCGTGCTTGTTACGCTAAGCTGTTTCTAGGATGTATCATCTTGATGTATTATTTAAAGATATCAGTTCGAAGAGTCTTTGTTACTACCTGACATATGCTAGAAGTCGCTACAGATGGATTAAACCTCTAGCCATTATGGATGATAACTTCGGAAAGTCGTTTGCGAAAGCCCAGCAGCTCCATGGTATCTCTTTGAGCTCCTTTATCGCATCGGTTTCCCTTTCTGCATTCATATTCACACTTGAAGTTCTTCTATTTCTCGTCATTCACAAGCGCTTCCCCGATTTCTAGTAAGCTCACAGGATTCTATCGTGTCAAGCGCTAATCATCACAGCACTCCCGTTCCAGATCATCTAAACTGGAGATCTGGAAACTGGAAAAAACACATTGCAACCAATCTTGTTCGATTTGACTGCCGCAAGGAACATCTTGATAGATACTTTTTCCGCCGGTACCTACGATCATTAGCTCTTATATTCACTCCGGCCTCGATCCTTATACCGCCTATCCTCATCCCTTTAAACTACACTAAAGGAAAAACTGCCGTTCTTGGAGTGAGCGGACTCGACGCATTAGGATGGTCTAACGTCGGTCTTGACCAGGCAGATCGTTACTGGGCTCATCTCATCCTTGGTTTGCTTTTTATCGGACATGTTTGCCGGGTTATCTGGAGCGAGTTTGAATTTTATGTTGCAACCCGGCAACACTCACCATACGCGGCTTTGTGCACAGTACTCATCGAATCTATACCCGACGATTGGATGTCTGAAAAAGCACTTACATCTCAACTCGAAGTCTTCCCTAGTCTAGTTACTTCAATTTCTTTCAATCGTGACTACAGCCCAGTTTCCCGGTTAGCAGAAAAACGGGAACGCCTAGCTCGAGCCCTCGAAATTGAAGAGATTTCCTGGATAAGGAAAGCTTGCAGGGCAGGGGTTCAGAAAAAAAGCAAGAAATTAAGCTTTCTTAAAAGGCCCAGGCACCTGAGCTACCGATTATGCAACCTCTTGAACCTATTGACCTGGGTCAAACATGAAACGGTCGATACTAGCATGGTGTATCAGGAAGAACTTCTTAACACTAGTGAGAAGATGAACGTTTATCGTACAGCACCAGAGAAATTTCCGCTATTGCGGTCCGCCTTTGTTACCTTCTCCAACCCACTGGCTGCTAATATGGCGTGCCAAACGGTGATTCATACCAGCTCAGGTTATATGACACCTCGCACAATGCCTTTATCGGTAGACGACGTGGTATGGAGCAATGTCAACATCACCTGGAGGGACAGGACTATACGCACTGTAATTTCGAACACGCTTATTATGGCGATGGCGACTGCTTTTGTAATACCAGTAGCGCTGGCAGGGCTCCTTTCCCAGATCATCTACATGACTCAGGCGGTGCCTTGGCTTAGCTGGATCAACGAGCTTCCAGAGTCCTTCCTTAGTCTACTTCAAGGTGTATTGCCCCCCGCAATAGTGGCCGTCTTCACGAAAGTATTTGTCGTCGCACTAGAATATTTTGTCCGAAAGCAGGGCATCTCTTCCAGGAGCCATATCGACCTCAAGATGCAAGACTATTACTTTTATTACCTCTTTCTCCAAGTTACCCTCGTGGTTTCGTTGTCCGCAGGAGTTACTGCTATCGCGAACGAGATGATGCACGGAGCCTCGCTGGCCGGGACGCTGGCTAAGAATCTACCAAAAGCAAGCAATTACTTCTTGTCCTATATTCTCCTGCAGGCACTCTCGATCAGCGCAAATTCTTTGCTGAGATTCGATCGCTTGATAGGAAAATTTGTACTTGGCCCAATGTTTGACAAGTCGGTCACTCAGATGAAGATAAGAAGAAGCGGCCAGGATATCCAGTGGGGCACTTTTGTACCTGTTTTCACGAACCTCTCTTGTATTGGTAGGTTTTAGGCTCCAAAAGCGCATCTAGTAGCATATGCTGAAGTAGCCAGGATTTCTCTATGCTATCATCTCACCCGTCATCATTCCTTTCCAGGTTCTTGTTATCAGCTTGTTCTGGATCATCTACTCCAACTCAAGTATCCTGCTTACTAAGCGGGATCACGGGGGCCTCTTCTATCCCAAAGCGCTCAAACATCTTTTGGTAGGCTTGTATTTAATGCAAGTGTGTCTTATTGCTCTCTTTCTTCTTGTACGAGACTCACAGGGCAACGCTAAGTGTATTGGGCAGGCATGTGTTATGGCGCTTGCTACGGGACTAACCATGGTATACCATCGCTTGCTTTGCAAAGCGTTCAATCCGCTGCTAATCTTCTCCCCCACGGCACTTAACAAGAATCTAGCCAACAAGGCGATGCCGTCGCCTCTCTTTCTCCATAAGGCCCTTACGTCAGTTCCAGTCATCCGCATCCCTAGCGATGATCATGGGATTAGCACTGCTCGAGCGCTGCAGCTCAGAGATGAACTAAAAAGTGTGACAATATCCGATACGGACGCAGTTATGACTGCATCAGGCAAGGTGTACTTGAATTAGGAATTTTGCACGGGTGTAGTAGCGAGTAATGTTAAATATTGCCTTTGGACAGTATGAATACAAAATGTGACCTTTATGCGACGATCCCCCGCTTCGCATGCACAGATCGTGCGTTCATGTTTAATCACCTCGTATGTACCTGAATCATGCCTTGTGGCGCGCGCAAATCCAGGAATCCTTGCAAATGTTTAGAGGCTCGGAATGAACGGTCCGAGCGGAAGACGAGTGTAAATAGCCGTAATTGCCGCTGTGCGTTGGTTCGGAGAATTGGACCTCTTTTCTATTGGTGTCGCAAGCGCTGGGATGAGTAGTGTAGGCGCTAGGCAATATTTGCCGCGTCATAGTACAGCCGAATCCACGGAAATAACCGAATGAATGTCAGACCTCCATTTTACAGAAGAGCTAAGGTCCACAGAATGCGACAGCATCCGAGAGAGCCAGGCAACTGCATACGTTTCCACCGATTAGCGTCCCGACGAAAATTGACGTGAACAGATGGGTACTGCCAACTAGAGCACATGTTGTCTAGTATGAGAGATCCACGCATTTTGTTTTCTACACTAGAACTCTCGGTCACTTGACTATATAACCTGTTGCAATACGGGTTGTATATAAACAACTCCTCCACCCTACTATACAATGGGCCCCGCAACCGATCTCAGCATGATTCCGTACGAGAAAGGCGACGTCGAGGTTCAGATCCAAGGATATCGGTTTCTGATTTGTTCCTCAGTGATGTTAGCAACGTCACCTGAATTTCAGAAGCTTCTTACCACGCAACATGGCACGCTGCGTAAGAGACTCGAGCTTCCAGATGAAGATCCTGTGGCCTTTCACCTGATCTGCCAGTCGGCTCATGGCTCATTCATACCGCAAGCTCACATATCGCTGGAAACACTGGTGAGAATGGCTGATACTATTCAACGATATAAGATCCCCACCACGTCGCGCGTGCACCACACCGTAGCATTTAGCTTCATCACACAAACCTTAAGACCGGAGACACTCTCCACAGCTAGACTTCTTTCACTTCTTCGCATAGCCAAGGTTCTGGGCCCTACTAAATACCACCAACTACTTCAAGATGTGTTTCTTGTTCGTCCCCTTCAATTTGGGCCATTGCCTACCGAGCAGGCCGATGGCGGTCAGGACACAGATTGTGTTATACTGTTAGGTACGTTGTTTCTTCCAACAAGCATAATAACGATTGCTGAATCATACAGCAAATTTGATGCTGCGAGGTGCAGCCTGTCGCTCAGAAGTGGCAAGCACACTGTTGAGTTCGCCAGGTACCAGCGACACTCTCCTTGTACAGGAGAAAAACGACTTAGCTGTGTGGATCCTCAAGGAGGACCCCAGCCTACAAGACATCAATACTCGACTTCGAAGTTTGAGGAGCGCTGTAGATCTGCAGAGGGAACAGCTACTAAATGCTAGTGGAGCAATCGAGGAGGCAACTGCAGATATCAGCCATTACGTCCGCAATACAATAGAAAATGCTCAGGAATCTGAAGAAGATCACACACAAGAGGCTGGGAAGCTAGACATAAATCATGACATCAAACGCCTAGATGTCCAAATTGCAGAGGACGGACGGACATCGAGAAAATTATTGGATATCGATGACCTGGGCTCAGAGTGCGTTTCTCCCAGCAGTACTCAATTCGAGGACATGGAAGCCTACAGCGAACCAATAAACAATTTCCTTGGTGGGCATTCCGATTTCGAAGACGACGAGTCCGTAACTTCTGCCAGGACGGTGTAAGGGCGTGCATTCTCCGCAGGGGGTGTTCTGAAATACGAAAGCTTGACACTAAAGATTAATGCAATTAAATGTTATTATCATCAGCTAAATACATAGAGCCCGATTCTGAATACTTGTGAACTACATTTTTCATGCTTTATGCATCTATAGCCATCGACGTAAACTTGCCGCGTGCGCTGGGTTTGCATCCGCGAACGACCAAAACTCTTGTAGGTCGAACCTGCTTTCTAGAGACTCATAGTCCGTTTGTGCTAGGTTGTACTCTGTCAACATCGGATCCAGTTGCATAGAAGAGGCTACGAAGGTATCCAGCTGAGGCTCAGTTGCAGCAAAGGTCAGAAATGATGAGGTTTCTGGCTGCGATTGTGGCAGAGACATAGTGGATGCAGCGCTCAGCCAGGGAACCTCGTGCTGCAACTCTTCGGAGCTTCTTTCCATGTACGTAGAAAGCGTATTAACATGTGCCACGATGTCGTGCAAGAGTGGACGGTCGTTTCCCGGACTCCGTCCTGGCAGCATTGGCAAGTTGTGACCAGTCCGAATGTATTCGTACAATGTTTGTACTGTTACCTGTAGCTGTCTAATCTGTGCCTCAAGGAGAGCTACCCTACGAACGGTGTGAGTTGGAAGGAAAAAACGCTTCTTTACTCCCGGTCACACTCACGGGGATGTTTTATCCCGCTGGTGGTCCTCATCCTGTATATAACTACATACTGCATCGTCCGCTCGGCATTTATTGCAGACACGCTCCCCATCACACAACAGCAATGTCAGCCTTCTACTCATTTGCCTTTTCAATAACGGCGCTTACCTTTGTTTTCTTATATCGGCACCGGTTGCACGCTTGCTTCACTCGTTGCCTAGTCTTTCCCATTGTGTCTGGAATTATCTCTGAGTGCATATCGCCCAAGATGCAAGAGGTCCTGGAGGGCCGTATATACGCCAACCTCGATTTTATGGGCTCTTGGTTCCTGCATATCAGTGCTGTGCCACAATGGTGCATGTGGCGATTTGCTAAGAGTTGGGATTACGTAGTGCCTGAAGTGACAAATGCTGTGCCACACTTAGTGTGAAAATTTACAGTCTTGTCCGTGGCGGTACGGGCAGATTTCGGCCTAATAGATGCGACAATCCAACATGTTACCAAGGTTAGAACCAGGAAAGTTGTTCAAGGAGGCAGGTATGCCGTCGCCTCGGTTAATGTAAGGCATTTTGATGCGATACGATTTAGATCTACTAACTATCAAGCTGCTTCGAAATCCAAATCCTACTGTTCGCCTTGTCATGTACGTAGTATATATTATTGGGTTGCTTAGATTGTCTGCGACGAATCCAAAGTTGCGAGTGCATACAAACCTTAAGTATTCCAGCTTTATCTACAAGAGCAAACAAGGTCACGTGGCTATGCGCACGAATACCTGCTACTACTTTCTCAATGCCCTCTTTTGTTGCATCACACAAGTGTTCAGCCTGGGGACGCATATCTCGACTTTGTGGCAAATGCCAGAACGTGATGCGGTTACCATGGGGCTTAGCCAGATGATCAGGATATTCGGGTACTGAGTATATAGAGGAAGAGCGCAATAGTGTTCGGGCCGATTGAGCCGATTGGTTTGGTGGGGTTGGTTCAGTCGGTCGGGTCGGTTGGAAGCCTTCGTAACTACTGCGGGCAGATTTTGACCCGAATTTCTCGAAGAAAGACATGGAAATCAACACAAGTATTCCGTATTCTGTCAAAGCATATCTTGGCTCTTGAGTAAGAGCAGTCCATATTGTTGGGAGAAATAGCTCTGGGTGATTTCTAGGCATCCGTAGAGTAGCCGCATTATCAGTCGTCATCAATGGAGTCAGAGCAGGCGGGCGAGGCTTAAAGATTGCTTGGCCAGTCTTACGGGAATAAGCTTCTGCATCGAATTTGTCTGCAGGCGTAGAGAACAAGTGATTTGGTCGTTCTTGAAGCATGTGCAAGCGAATCTGTGAGAGATCTGGATCGTGATTGCATAGAGAAGAGATTTCGGCAGACTCAAACCCAAGCCTACGTGCAAAGTGGCCAAGTCGAATGATCCATCCGGGAGGCTCTGATAATTCTCTCTGGTTTTTTGCTTCTTTGTAGGAATTCCAGTGGCTTTTCGCGTGGCGAAAAAGGTAAAGACATAGTTGCCAATACGCATACTTTCCGGGGTCGCTACATTCGAATAAGCGCTCTTCATTTTCGCTGTATTGCAATAAATGTTGTTGCTGATTTTGCTCACGCTGCTTGTAGCAACGCTGAATTAGAATGTCCCTTACGGAAGGAAGACGTCTGGATACTAGGTTAAAATCATCTCTTGGAGGGAATAGCTCACGCGCTGGAAACAACTCTCTCAAAGGAAGCATAATCATTCCTAGTACCTTGACGTGTTTGAAAAATGTCTGGAAATTCAGAACAAGTCCTTCGACAGCAAGTACTCTTTGAAGAATTTGAGCTCGTACAGTAGAATCATGTGCACGAGGGAAGACTTGATATGTGGCGAACAAGGTTTCGATTGCCGAGCGATCATGAGAACTCCATACAGGCGCAAGACCCCCGAGCTTCTCGATAGTGTATTCATCACAGAGGTAGGTGTCGCCATTGGTAATTTTATGCCAGATGTCATACATCTGGTTTAGGTAATATTCAATTTCCTAGAGAAGTAAACGATCCGGCTCATTTTAAATTCAAGGGGGTTATACCTGTCTGCATCGCCAGCTCAGAATCAATGGAAAACATCCAAGCTGAAAGTCCATCCATAGAGAGCGAAATGGCTCTAGTTTCTCAAGACAGTCGCGAAGCCAGTCATTACGCAGAACTTGATGGAGGCTCTTCACCTTAGATCCAAGTAACCTCTTCCACCTTGAAGCGATCTCGTAGTCCTTATTACGTTCATAAAATCGAATATGAAGGAACTTCTCTCCATCACATAGGGGCGTGTGTCGCATGTAAGATTGACGAATCTGAACCAATGTAGCTGAGGGTGCATCTATCTACTTTTTAGCAGCCGACTGAAGGTAAAACAATGATATTCTCACCTTCGTTATAGAGGTCAACAAGCCACCAATCTTCTTGGTTCTGGGACGTATCTCGTTTCGCAGTCTCTAGTCGAAATTGGCCGTGGAGGCATGGTAACTGAACACCGTCCGGAAGAGCAAGCTTTGGCGAACGTCCGACAGCATACACTACATGTGTAGTGATACCCGCTTCGTTCAAATAGTTCTCATAGTCAGGATAGCTAATCAAAGCGGGTAGATTATGTTCTAAATCAGATATGCAGCACCCGACACAATCATCAGGATCTGAATCAGTTGTTTTATAACAGAGATTTACTAGACGTATTTTAGCAGTCCCAAGATAGTATCGGAACTTTCCAAGCTTTGCACTCATATTGTGACTTCCTCAGAGTATTGGCGCGGTTTTGGCTTCTTTATGATTGTGTCATCACTGGTACCCTCTTAAAAGCGAGCCTTGCAAGAATTTGCTTATCTGAGAAATGTATTTATGTAGCCACCGACAAGGTTTTTGCGAATAAGAAGATTCTCTTCCTTTCACCTTTTGTACATATGCCGTCACAAAATTGTTCAGATTGGCTGTACGGCTTTCAAACTGGAACTGATTGGTTTTTAGTGTGTGGGGGTGCTTTACAGCGAGTCACTGCTAACTTTCGCGACCCCCATGCCCAGTTTCCTTCTACAGTCTTGTTGATTGGTAAGCGTGAGAAAGAAGCCGCACGCCGGGCGCTGCTACAAGGACGTACCCACTCATGGTCACGCGGCATCGCACAATTGGATGCAGACAATTCGACATCTAACAATGATCACCCTTTACTAGTTGCGAGTCTGGATATCGACAAAACTTGTAGCGAAAAGAAGCCACTACCAAAGCATAATGGACATATGCTTCATAAAATCAGGTGGCTGCCGGAGCATTCGTCCGCAACCCCGACTAATACTGTCGTGGAAATGATAGTGGGCAAGTTATTAATATTGTTCATTGACGTTGTTTGTCTTTTCCTTGACGACTTCTCTACCCCTGAGGAAGGAATTCATTTTTTACAAAGATGTGAACATCATTGTAGTATATCACAAGACTGGAAGCCACAGGTTATCCTGGTTAGTAATCGCATGAACAGACGGAGGGGAAGCCTTAGCCTGTCCATGTTTAGTAGCATACAGCGCGTGATACTACCGAAAGAAAGCCGCAAGACCCTGTCTTCTTCAAGGTTTTTCACTCTGAAGAAAGCAATTCACTCTAGTGTGAATATGGTAAGGAAAGGTAGGGAGACTTCCAAAACACTCTACTCAGCCTACCATCTCAATGCTTTCTTCGAGCTGGCATTGATGCATGTTGCGACACGTGCATACACACCGTTCAGCTTTATCATCGCTTCACGTCAACGCAATCGAATAGAAAAACATCTCTGGGCCAATCTACGGAAATTTTTGGCACTATGCTCTGCTAATTTTGTAAGCAAGAAGGCAGCCTTGCAGCACATTGCAACTGCGCTTATGCTGGATAGTCTTCCGCCAGGTATGCATCGTAAGTACTCTATGCTAAGCAGAGATGGTATGATCCTAACTAACAGGCTTCGAACCGTCCTCGGTTTTTGAGTCGCTATATCAATCTCACTGTTACGATGTCGTTTCGTCGCTACCGTCCGAACAAGATTTCTCGCCAGAGGCTTCATGTGCACAGTTGAAAGTGACTTTTAGCCAATTCAGTTGCAGAATTGAGCAAGAGGCGCTCACGGCGGTACAAATGCACAAGAAAAATATCCAGGACATACCCATCAACTGGAATAGGCTCTACAGCTCCCAAGTCTGCCTTTGCTGCCTTTTCCGTAAGCCTGAGCATAGCTTGCGCTGTGGACACGCGCTTTGTGATTTCTGCACTATCAGGTTTGGATTAAAAAGGCAACAAATGGAATATTCATACCGCATCTCAGAATGTGTATTATGCAATTCCAAAAGCGAGCTTATAGTTCGTTTGAAACCACCGACCGCCGGAAGCCGTCTGCTCGTCCTTGACGGAGGTGGTATTCGGGGAATATGCACGCTACAGATACTACAGGCACTCGATCAGTATCGAAAACTACCTTATCCTATCTACGATGAGTTTGACTTGACATTGGGTACGAGTACAGGTAAGTGTCTTTTGCGTCTCGACATCTGCAAATAGAAACATCACTCATCACAGGATGCAGGCGGCCTCATTGTGCTCATGTTTCTCTTACGCCAGAACCTAGACGAATGTATCAACGTCTTCAAGCAGCTATCGAAACGTGTCTTCGCTCCTCGTTTATTACTTAGAAATCCCCTGTTTGCGAATATATATGGTGTTTTGTATTCATTGCTCACAGACAGCTTCTATGGAGCCGCTGAGATGGAAGCATGCGTGAAAGAAGTATTCGGATCGAACACTGCCTTTTTTGGCTCTAGTACATCAGGCACAGGTATATCAGGTCCAAAAGTAGCAGTTACCACAATGACCGTATCTAATTCCAAACTCTGCATCCTCTCTAATTATAATGGAGTTGGAGTAAGGCAAGGTGAAAAGATGTATCCTGTATTCGGGTACAAGACTGATAGATCAATATAGGTTACCAACACCATCGAGCTTCTCATATAGAAGAAGAGGCTCTGGTATGCGACGCGTAGGTCATGTTTCTTTGTTCAAGCTTTCGTACTGATATGAACTAGAGCCAGGGCTACATCAGCTGCCCCGTCCTACTTCCCAGCAAAATATATCCAGGGCATTGGGTTTTTACAGGATGGTGGTGCGGGAAAGCATAACAATCCTATTGGTCCCGCAGAATGGGAGTCGAAAGCCATCTGGGACAGCAATTCTGACCTAGCTGTCTCAATAGGTACAGGGTTTGCTCGAGACTCGGAGTCACCACAGAGAGTTTCTAGAAGATTGGGTTTTCGTGACCGGTTTTTCTCACGCCTGTTTCGCCTTTTCAACGCCATGTTGAACGCTCAAGATGGCTGGGAGGATCACCTAAATCGAGTCCCTCTTGAGGAACGGCACAAATACTTCCGTGTTAACATAGAGCTTAGCACAGAACCAGCGCTAGATGATGTTAGCAAGATACCAGATCTAGAAGATTTAACTGCGACATTTCTTCATACGTACGATTTCTCCAGCATCACGAGGGCACTTTTCGCTGCTGCATTCTTTTTTGAACTCCACCAAAAGCCTCCTGCGAATCGAACATCGCTAGTATGCTTTGGTTCTATTCGCTGTCGTAGCCCGGACACACGCTCGCTGATTGAGAGAATTCTGCAAGAATATCCAGATGCCTCCTTTATCACGGAAGAAGGTACTAGCTTAGGCTACATTGGCGACTCCAGCCTTTGTACTATGTGTGGTCATTATTGCAAGGCCGTCAACCTCAAGGTGTACCATGCTGACCAGAGCACATCTGTCTACTTGCAGTTTAATCAATCTAGTCAAACGAGAATCAGCGGCTTCCCACAGTCAATGTCGCGATTTGTCAGGCTTCAGCAGCTAGACGCCGAGTTTGGCAGATCAGATCATCAAATCGGGGACTATATGGGTATGAGTCGTTGTCAATGTAAGCCCAGCAGGAAAAGAAGAAAATCGATGCCTTCAAAAAACACAACCTCTAAGAGACTGCGCCTTGATTTAGCTGTAAGAAAAACGAAATGATATAAAGATATAGAATAACTACATGATTTTTAGATAAGTAATTCTCGTGAGCACATCTACTTGAACGCGCTATCTGAGCACATTTATATTATCTATTGAATCATTCGACCTATAAGCTCACGCTAAACGATAGAGGCTTAACAAATGATACCATCTCTTATCCAACGTCTGCTAGAGACATTATCGAGATTGCGACTGAAGCGAGCAGATGCTAAAGACTGTGGTCAATTTCTCAAAGACAGCATTGCTGAAAGAAGGCGGTACGAACAAGCACGCCGTAAACGGACAGGGTTTTCTTAGTCTACCTTTGTTTATGTCGCTTTTAAGTTCGATGGCTTTCTGCTGTCGATGCGCTCAATGAATCATGAAGTACGATCTTTTACAATGTATACATATTGTTATTTGAACATGCATTTATAGAGAATAGCTTGTCAGAAATACAACATAAGATTTACAAAATCTATCCTCTCAAGCGTGCTATACAACTTTATCCCCAGCTCGGTCTTCCTGCTTCATTGCTATCGCTAATAGTTGTGAATACTTTTCATGAACTTCCATCGACCACGGTACTAAATTATTGACATAGCGTTGAGCTCCTTGTACGCTCGCTTCTATTTCCCCTAGCCGCTTGCGAACCATTTCACTCAGCTCTGAGATATCGCGACGCAACTGCAACACCTCGTTTTGCAACTTGGTCAGCTCCTCATTTGTTTGGAGCAGTGGTTTATTGTTCGCAGCAGACCTAATAGCAGTCGTGGTTTGCTCAAAGCCTTCGTAAGGATCTGCGAGGGGGAACGTATCATTTTCCCAATTGAAATCCCAGCCTTGTTCTGGAATAGGCGGTAAACGAGGATTAAAATTTGTGGATGACTCTGTGGCTAACATTGCGTTTAAAGATGGAAATAACGTCCGATGTTCAGAGAACAGTGTATTCTGATCGCTTGAAGCCATGTTAGTTAGGTGTTAGCTGTAAATGCAGTGAAGAGTACAAGCAGTTATAGCCATCGGTACAGCATTACAAAGAAGCTGTTAGCGATAAGTTTACGGTAGTTTGCCTTGAGTATTGAGAACAGGATTCGCCGCTTCCGAGTGTATCCGACATTTTTCTTGCTAGTCTGAGCATTACTGTACCAGGCAGTATCTTCCCTAGTAGACATCAACTTTAGAGCGACGGCTTCCACTACGGTCGTTCAGCACCTGTCGATCGGAACTTCACCCTGCATACGGTTGCAACAGAGTTTTGTTTGGCCCTATCTGTGCTTGGCTTAGTATTCCCCAGACACTAGTGGAGTGTCTTCCGGCCGAACCGTTCCGAACCAGTGGAGCCATAGCTCTCAGTCAGTCTGTAACGCATTGACCAAGCAGACAGATCTCTATCGTATCAGAAGAGTCAGTACGACATCCTATCGATCCGAGGGGTTCCGTCTAGCGGGTCAGAAGAAGCGCATGTCGTCCAAGAAGTGATGTGATAGCTGCACTAAGCGCCGGCAACAAAGTGTAAATCGGTCCGATGTGGGATTGCGTTGGGTCTTGAACCCTGCTCGTCGGTGTGCAGTAGCTTCCCTACACAATGCCGGTTTTTTGCTTCCGCAACCGTAAACCGTTCGCTGTTATGCTGATCATTCTGTAACTCTGCAATTGCTGTGAGAATACAAAAAAACTGTGCACGAGCACGGTATTTAGTCCAGCTCATGCCCTAGTACTTCTTACCTCCAGAGAAGCACCTTGCTACAACCCATTGCAATGAGTGTGTCACAGCCATATCAGTCGTTAACAGCGCAATCATCGGAGGTATTTCTAACATTCCATTCAAAAGCGCATAACTAACTCCAGAGAACAGGAAAACATAGATTCTCGCGGCCAAACATGCTGTTCCCAGCTTGCCCTACATATGACGAATTTATATCATCACGGCCAAACTCAGTTACAAAATATGTATAATCAGCTACATACCGTATATAATCAGCTTCAAGTGACCCAGAACAACCTTGAAAATACACGACGCCAAATGCTCGCGACAGAGAAAGAACTACAACGGGAACGAGAAGCAAGTGAACTCCTCCACCAGGAATTCAGCGAGCTGCAAGAATGTCACGATAAGCTTATAAAGCAGTATGATAGCTGTGTGAAGGTCCAGGAAGATCTGAATAAATCTGCAACGGACTCTCGCATGTTGGCCGATGAGGTTGCTAGGCAAGCCGAAAGTCTGCTTGAAAACTCTCCAGCCAATCTGGCTGGAGGTGGTATGAATAACTCAGACAATGGCCAAAGTATCAGTAGGATGCTCCTAGAGTCAGCCAAGAATGCTCTGCTTGTACATGCAATGTCTAGTCAGCATTCAGAAGATGAGGGTTTCACCAAGTTCAGGAACTTCATAGATGAAAATGTGGAGCTTCGCGAGGATAAAAAGACTTTATCCCAACAAGTTGAAGATGGAAGGGATGAGATAGCGAGCCTAAAAAAAGCTCTCGAAATCGCTACTGAAGATAGACGACGGAAGAAATCCCGACGAGGGAAGACATTGGCTGAGAAGAACCAGTAATTTTTGTCATAATAACATTTCTAAGCATCTATGAACATAGAACTATTTCGTTTTAATCCCTATGATGTCCCCAAGTCAGTGATGACAGCTTCTGTTACATGTTCGACTGGGAACACTATGATTTGTGCATTCAAAACCAAGGGAATCAGCGACGCAGTGGGCAACGCGTCTCTTAAAAAGTCGTCCTACAATATATCAGCACTATATCATTACTTTAAAGAAATAATAATTACCTTGTTTAATTCACGATATGTTGTTTCAGAGGCGCGTTGAATGAAAGCAACGAGATTCTGGCTTTGCTGTAGAGTTGAAGAATCAGGAACACGGGACACCAGGTCATCTAGCATAATTCCAAAGGCAGTTGCCTTGTAATCTGATATTGTTTCTTGCAAAAAGGTTCGTTCTAATGCTGCTTGCTTTTCAGTGGTTGGGATGCCTTCGAAGAAGCGTTCGATACTTACTAACTTTGACTCGACCACTGCTTGCTGAGACTGTGATGTCCTCTACATCAATCGAAGGAAAGTGAAAGCCTTCCTCGTATGCAGCGCAGATACCAGAGAGTGCCTGAACTATCGTCATTACCAGAATTATTAAGTGTGAGGCCATCCTACCTCTGCACTTATCGTTTTCACTTCAGCTAATCCCAGCTGTGGAGAATGAGACGCAACAATCTCAGATAATGGGAAGCCGGGTCTATCGAACACGGTAAAGATAGAACCCTCGAACCTAAAGACAGACAAAATATTAAGAAGATTCGGGTTCGGCTCTTCAAGGCGATAAACAGGTTTATCGGGACTACGTCGGATCATCACAACCCGATACGCGTTCTTAGTAGCACCTGAGGCGATTTTTTGAGCCAGACAATAGGGCCTTTCCCCTTGGGGATCGACAATATGTATGCACCGATAGTGTCTTCCAGGATCTTCATCACGTGGTGTGAAGATTTGAGGGGCTAGTGAAATCTTTCGCCATTTGTTTAGTCCGAATATAGGATCAGGACGCTTTCGCTTACTAGCGCTCGGCTTAGTAGAATCGCTATTTCTGTTGAGGGGGGTGACGTCTCTTGCACCGTTGGTCGTTCCTGGAAAGAGTGTCAGTCGCCTCTCATCCATGTTGGCGGGTACTTTATAAGCTAAGCGCGTGTTGCAGGCTTAATATAAAAAAACTTGACCGCAAGTTTTCATCCATAACTATCTAAACAACCTAAGCTCTGTCAGCCCCTAGACAGGTTCACTTTTGATTATGAATTCAGCTATAAGGAAAGTGCCTCGTGGAAGGCCCCTCGAAGCTAACAACTTCGACCATATCGTGCGATGCTATGGTGGTCAAACAATCGCTATAGAAATGGAACCTCACCATATGCAAAAGTCAAAGCAGCCTAGAGATTTAATTCAATACATTGATTTTCTGAACCGGAGAAACGGAGAACTTAGGTTGGAGCTTACATTCTACCGAGAATGTCACCGGCACGCAGAGAAGTTCAAAGAAAAGATCGAGGGAATATCCCAAGATTTACTTCAAGCATGCATTATTGGTTTGCTTGACGGTATAGATTTTGGAGAGATTAGAGATCTTTCCAACACGGCTTCAGATGCAATAGATCAATTTAGTCACGACCAAGAACAAGCATTCAACGCTTTCATAGCGCCTTACAAAGCATCAAAGAGCCCTAAAAAGTCTACTATATCAATGGAGGGGTGGATTTGAGATTTATTTCTGTCTATCTAAGCAACTTCGATCCCGCGGCACTTGATTGGCAAGGAGTTTCTTCTCTTATTATGCCCCCTAAGCTCAAATGGCTGAAAATCGAGCTCCAGATATCTTACTTGCTTCTGGCTAGTATGGGAAACGACTTCTCGCGCCTGGTGCCTCATTTCCCAGCGTGCGCATACTGATCAGGTTATTTAGTGTAGCGACAAGAAATGACAAAGCTTACCACAGATCGCGAGCCTTCCAACTCTCGTCTCTAGAACATCGCTGATGATTTGGCGCACATCTGGCTTTCCTTTTACCTCGGCAATTCGACTGCCTGTCCGTTTGTATGGTACTGCATTTCCGGCTTCATTAGAAATCTCGTAGTCCCCGTAGATATAGACATCTATAATCTTAAAAGTATTAGTATTGATTGAAGTTGTATCGTCACATTGCAACTTGCATTCTCTCCATGCGGAGTAGGTCGGATTCCTGGGTTTTCTTTGATGGTGCTACCGCCCAAGTATCGGTCTATCTTTCCGCTCTTTGACGCAATGTTGGTATCTTTTTGTGCCGCAGCACCTTGCAGGTCGTCTTTTCTTAGCATGGTGTTCATAATCTCTCGTACTAAGTCCAGCTGGTTCTCATTGTCCACGTGCCAGATTAGAAGAAGATCCCTTGTTTTGGTTTTTGACTGCCTGTGGTCGCGTATGAGCTTTTGAACATAGGCAAGATGGCCAACAATCCCAATCCCATTAGCGAATAGAACTACTGTACCAAAGTCTCGTAGGTCGAATCCATGTCCGTATGGCCCTTCTATAAATGCACTAAGCTCTGTCGTTCTATACAGAGTGTGTGTAAGGAGTCGATTTGTGAAACCCGCCCTTGGTTGAATACGCAACTGAAAATTGTGGTCTTCTGATTCTGAGTCTGCTACCATGAAAGGGTGGCGCTGGAATATCGAGAACAATCCAGGTCTCCACATGGTAAGGTATACATACTGGCCAGGTTCAATTTTCCAAGGCCTAGGTAGTTTGACCTTTATTTGAAGACTGTTGTGAATGTTCTCAACAAAGATACTGGTGCTCGGCTTGCTTACTGAAAAATTCCGATAGACAAGTAGGACGTTTCTGTGGGTGTGGGTCGCTATCCACATACACGTTCCTAAAATCACTTGCACTCGACCTATGTTGTTCGACTTAGGTATATGAAGCCATAACAGTATGCATATAGATGTAGAGCAGCTAAAGTGAATGATCCGGAAGATCTCGTACGCTTGATAACGGAAGGCGGGTAGAGAAGCAAGACTCATCAGCCCAAGGCAGCCAAATGTCTAAATGTATGAGATGACAGTAACAACTTCAATTCATGTGTACATACCGCGATTCCACTTGTCGTATCAATATTACCAGTCCATCCATGGGCAGTGAGTTCTTGTCCAGCGTGAATAGACGCTTGTATGAGAGCAACTAACCCAACTATACTATGATTTTGCTGGTATACTCTTAACGATATATGCAAGATATCAGCTGCTATATTTGAGCTGGGTAGCAGAAGGATGAGATTCGTTGCGAGCATCGAAGCGGACCGGCTGCTTAGCTCTTTCACGGCTTTCACGCCCCAACCCATACAAATGCCGTTAGCGGTCACATATAACAAGGGAAATATTACATCCTTTGCTGAAATGCGCCAATGAGATATTCTGAAGAAGCTAGTGGTAGAATACACGAGATACTTGAGGATAACATCTGTTATGAGTGCAGCCAGCCACCGAAGCGCTAGGCGAGTGCTAAAAAACAGAATGAAGAAGGTAATAAGTCCTGCAGAAAGGATAGAATACCAGATGAAGGGGCTTAACTCGCGATCCATATCCAGTTATGTTAAGCACTAGGTCTAAGCTTACTGATATAACATGATAGGAGTGGTCAGTGCGGGCTGATAGCATATAAATAAGTGGCTCAGTATCCTGCAATCCTCCTTTTAATACATCATGAACTCCAAAAGATTGCAGCAGGAGTCTTTCCGAAAACGAAGAAACAACTTTCTTCGTCGTGGTCATGAAATAAGTGATCGATACAAAGTAGGGGTATGGATATGTATTCAGAAGGACAATGGTCAATTGTATATCTACAATTCAAACCCAACACGAATAGATTGGCCACCATCGTGTACACAACTTGTAGGTTATTAGATATTATGTTACTATAAAATATCTAACAACATAGGAGTCAATGTATCCAGTCCCTATAATAAAGACTGGCAGAGATTTTCTATCCATGAAGCCGCCGCCGCAGAAATCGCCGCTGGTTCAAAACGATGCCTCTCTGCCTGGATTCCTGTCTACACCGCCTGTTCCTGATTACAGTCAAGGCGAGATCTTCTCAGAGAGATTTCTAGAATGAGTTTCGCGATAGGGAATACGTTTGAGTTCACTATATGTTCTGTCCTAGTCTATTTTTCTTTTAAAATAGGTAAATAAATGTATATTCGTTAAGCTTAAGGTCACTTGATATCTCTTCTAGTATCTCTAAACATGTGATAACTGACATGAAAATATCTCTAGATAGAGAAGGTGTCATAAAACTGCCTACAGTAGATTGCTTGATACATAATACTAAGAAACAATCAAAACTTTCTGACATATCCGCGAAATCAATACTTGAGGCTAGAAGATTCTGCAGTGCGATAAAACAATGGCATTATTTTATTGACCTTCTGCTAAGGTCTGAACCTTATAAATATCGGTATTTCGACGAAATGAATCCTCTAAACTAAGAGCTACATTTTACAAACATGGCTCCTAGCCTGCCTAAGAAGTCCAATGATACAGGCGAGAAATCTAGTGTTATAGGCGAGAGATCTATTGGTAAAGGGAAATCGAATCAGGGTACGAAAAACAATCTAGAATATCATCAAACTACTCGGGCCCAACGGCTGCTGTAGCAGAATTTCAATGAAATTGCCCGTGCTCCGCACGGGCCTATCACCTCAACGATAATA